ATAAGTATGAGTTTCATGTTTACAAAATGGAATGTGGTGAGTTTCATCGTCTAATTGAGCATCCGTCACACGAAAATATAAGCAGTTTCTAAACTGAAAAAAAAAATGGTTTAAGTCTTAATATAAAAATATAAAAATTTTTAATTAAAAGTTTTATTATAAAAAAAAAAAGAAAACCTTTAAAGTATGATAAAGAGGAACTTTAGCAACAAATTCTAATTTCACCCCATCGAGGTTCCCTGATAAATATTTATCAGAATCTGACGCGTTGGATACTTCAATGTTTCCCTTGGATGTGTGAACATATTCCGGAACGTTTGGATCTTGTATTATTTCTTGTGTGCAAACTGATGGATTTGCCTTCCATTGTCCACAAAGTTCTGTTCGAAGCTCTGAAGATAAATCACACCTCAATGCACATTCAACTGTTTTGTTTAAAAATGATTCTTTAAGCACATCTTGAATTAAACATTGTTTGTCTGATCCTTTGAAACAAATATCGAAATTTGTTTCGGCACCGCAAACTAATTTAACACGCCCCCCATTGTCTTCTTCAATTCCCGTTAAAAAATGAATGCTAAAAAAACCAATTATTGTTAATATTTGAAAAAAAATAAATATGAACTTATGAAGTTTGAAACGATCCGCTATGGCTCCAAAAAGAGGTTTTGCCAACATTCCTGTGAAAGGTAAAATTCCATTAATGATTCCCACGGCGTTACTGGGAAATTTTAAATCTTTAGCTATGACTGGCATAAAAGGTTGAACTGGCGATACACCTAGGAATATGTAAAATAAATTTAAATTAATATTTTATTCATAATTTGTGATTTTTTTTTTTTTTTTTGGAAAACAAAATAACATTTTTTAAGATCCTATCAGTTTTTTTTTATTTTTATCTTTTGATACCTCAGTAAAGTGTGACGTAATTATTAGGCCATACAATTAAAGTAAATATTTATTTATAAGACATAAATTTAAAATTACTTCTCTTCCGTGTAAATCGCCTCAAGTTTCTTTTGGAGCTTATATTGCAAGATATCAGGCTAATTTTAAATTAAAACATTATATAAAATTGCATACTAATCAGAAAAGGCACGATTAAAGATAAAAATACATATATGTATATATTGACCTTAAAAAGTTTAAATTTAAAAAACAAATTTAAGAATTTCAAATTTATTGTTATTATGATTATTATTTTTTACTATTATGTACTTTTAAACCAAACATAATAAAATATTTTTTAAATTTATGCCCTTTAATCTTTGATAATTAGATTAATTCTAAATCTTTTTAAAGACAAAAGGTAGATAACAGGTAATTGTAAACTAATAATAAGTAAGCATTTGAAATACTTTAAGGTTATTTCAAAAAATATCTAATATGAGTAAAAAAAGATTGATATTTTTAAATATAGGCAATTTATTTAGTCTAACAATATAAATACTGCAATACTGGATAAATTGCCACAAAACTGAAAAATAAATTTTAAAATCGCTAAAAAATTTTTTATTGAAATATAAATGTATTACGAAGCCTTTTTTTTTGTATTGCATTTTGTATTTTTTTTAATTCAAAAATCTTACCTCCATTAAATAGAAAGTAATGAGCTTTCATGGGCAAGAGGTCTTTATTGACTTTGACCATTTTGTTGAAGATTGAATGAATCCTTTACTTCAATAAACTAGAACACAAAAATTATCATTTGTAAAAAATATTCTGTAATAATCACATTCGATCTTATAATCCTTTGTATACGATCATGAAGTATTAAATGTAATGTATAATTATATA